TTTTCAGAATTACCTACCAATTGAAGGTTGTTTTGCACAGAACTCCCCCACCCCTCCCCCATTCCCAGCGTATCCTCCTTACAATGAATTTTAGTTGCGTACTCTGCTGTTTGTTGTGGTAGGTCTTGGACAGGAGCATCGCAAGCACACAGCACTCTTTCAGTTTTGTTACGGTAAAGCTACACATGTGGGGTTGTCCGATCCGTGAATTTTGTTGTGATGGGTCTCGAAATTGGAAATCTTAGGATAACAATAGTCCAGTTTTGGTGGGAGCTTTTGTCGGCTGCGTGCGTGGGATTTTGCCAGTGTACGGGCCTTTGCTTTTGTGCGTAAATATGAGCTTTCATATTTGCTCTCGTTTGCAGTTTATGCAGCGACATGCAGGTTGATCCGCAGACAGGTGTTTTTTTGAGTGCACGTGTTTTGCAGTTTCAGTTTTTCACCCACAACACAGCTTGTGCAGTCATTCGTGTCGGTTCGGGCTCGAATTTCCAACATGGGGATTTTTTCCGCGAGGTGTTGGGCTCAATCGTTGCAAGCGCGACAGCTATCAAACAGGCTGTGCAGCCAAGGGACGAAAACGGCATGTCACCTAGCATGTGCCGTGCTTTCACAAGTTTCAAACTGGCTGACGGGTTTGGGTAGCATTGAGTTGTCGACGCCTTTTTTGTTTGCGGTTGCCCATGGCGACAGTGAACATGTCCCACTTGGAGGCAGGCGTGTCACCAAGCTGAGCCATCGTGCAGCCACCCAACGGTCACAGACACTGTAGCAGTGTGTGTTGAAAGTGGCAATGCAATGTGCGAGGGCCTTCCACGTAGCGTGTTGCAAATTCATGTGAGGCATGTGTCCTGTTTTCTTGTTTGCTCCGTATCTGCTTTTCGCTTCATCAGGCGACCGCGCTGCGCGTGACGCCCCTGCGCAATTGGCTTGTCGAGGAAGTGCTGACAAAGTCAGCAATGCTTTCCACATGCTGGTCGTTTTATTTGGAATTCAAATCGGATGCATAAAAGATTTATCGCTTGTGGCTTGCTCGTCCGAAGTTCTCTCAGATCGAGCGCCTTGCTGCCAATGCCATTTGTGTCAACCAGGCCTACACGAAAACCCATGTGCAAGCGGGCAAGGATATCGATAAGCTAGCAGGGCATGTTCTTCGGATCCTTGGTGCCGAGTTCCGAAAGACTTTTCCGGACCATGCACATGGCCAGGAGACAAGTGCAGTGCAGAGCATTTTTGTTTGCCACGTGTTTGTTTCAGCGAAGATTCTCTGAAGTGTTAATGGAGGTAGCAGCGTCGTCAAGGGTTGAGCGGATGCGGGTTTCCAAAAAGATTCTGATGAACAGGATTTTGGCGATGAGGGCCCGTTTGACTAGATATCGTTAGTTTGGTCCAGACAGCATGTAGTTCTTTTTGGAGCGGCTGACCACTGGCCCTCGTTCAGATGAGGGTAGCAGAGAGAAAAATTTGGAGAGAGGAACCATGGCGGTATTTGACAGATGTTGGCCGCGAGGAGTTACAAACGATCCAGGAAAAGGCGAGGGATGCACGAGGCAGCCGCTGGGTTGCTGTTACGGAATTCGAAACAAGTTACTATGACAAGGACACCTTTTAGTCACTTTTTAGCCATAATCTGGTAATTTAAATTGAAGTCTGTAGCAGCAACCTAGGTCTCCAGTGGGATGTGGTACAAACGTTAGGTTTCCAGATCCAGTTGCTTGGCCGGTCCGTCCTTGATATTGTTCCTTCCTGGCTGTTAGTAGGAATAAGGTAATATATTCTTTACTAAATTCCTTTATGATATATTCCCCTATTCCGTCCTAACCCCAAGTATGTGTCAATTAATTTGAGCAAATTCGCCGAAATGCCTATCTAATACCTTTATAGTATATTTTCTATTCCGTACCCCAAGTATGTTTCAAATAGTTGAGCTTCGAGAGCTTGCCGAAGCTGATTGGGCCCAGTGTTGGCTCAGGAGGCTGGCGCAGCTTTTCGTCTGGCACCACGAGGCCTACAGCTTACAGTCCCCATGCCTTTAATTAAATAGAATATGGCTTCGGGTATAATGTAGTAAGATCCCCAAAAACCCAATATTCTATCTACTTATTCGGGACTATATTGGTTCTTAGTAGGGAAAAGAATCCCTACATCGGTTGTTTCCTTCGGAAGTACTTCGAATGTCTAGTATAGTATAACATTAAAGAATTATTTGAAAGGTTTTTTTGTTGTAGGTTTACGGAGACTACCGATACAATCCTTGTATGACATGTTCCCATATTCCCTGCTAAGCAGTAAGACAACGAAAAGTTAAAAAGATGCAAAGCAGCACTCCCGTCATCATTGCATTGGTTGTGAAGAGTTGTTAAAGGTACTGACTCAATTTGGTAGTTTACCTAAATAGGGGGACCCCAATATAGACCCCATAAGATTCGAATCCTTATTGTATGGACCCCCCAAAAAAGGGTATGGACGGTGAGATTCTTGCAGACAGCTTTCACACCCTGCTTGCAGTAGCTGAGCTAAAGCTCCCGCAGTTTGAGATTGAGAGAGTTGATGTGCGGGGGTGCAAAAAGTTCGTGCTAAACTTTCAGGCTCCCCCATTAGGAGCGGTTTTCGTGAACAAAGCCTATGCAAATCTGGGACTGAGAAGCTGTCAACAGATTATTGTGTGAAGTTTGGGTGGTGCGTGGAGGCGGACTTGTGCGAATGATATGGGAGGCTTCCCAAAATGATGGGTTTAGGGTTTAGGGTTTAGGGTAATATTTGGGAGGGCCCCCATAATGTAGGTTATGGGTCCTTCAGAGGAAATCGTGTAGTTTGTTTTGTCAAGCATTCTCCAATTTTTACAACACGTGCTGATTGGCCGACATTTTTGCAGCTTCGCTGTGAACAAGCACTTCTGATATGCAAAGCGGTGTCCAAATTTTGACCGTTCCAGCATTCAACGGCTCCGCAACGGTTCTAACGCAGATCGCAGCGATGCCGACTGCAGCTGCGCGAAAACTGTCCGAACAGCAATGGTAGCTTACCAGTTCTCGTACGGAATAAGGGAATATGATTCTTATGTAATGCATGTATATATATATATGTATCTATGTGATATTATATAGGGATTGTAGAGGGATACGATTCCCTTATAGTGAATTGGCTGCACAAGAAAAGCCATGGTCACAACCTAAGCCCAGCCCTAAACCTAAACTACATCCGATGTCTGGTCATTCCAGAAAATCTTGAAGCCACACCCCAAATAATGCACAATCCCACAAAAGAATGCTAGTCGCCCGCAAAGCAGCCTTTACAAACTGTCGGTTGGTATTTCTACCTTAGGAGTTTTAATGTTTAGCATGCCAAATTAAAGATGTCTTTGTCCTGCCAGGTGTCATGAGCACTTTCGACTGAAAACAAAGATCTCTCTGACAAAAAACACATAGTGTAAGTTACTAACTTTGTTGACCAACTCGGCAATGTGCCTAATTCTGACGTTCCTTCACTGTGCTTGTTGCCCCTCATACAGGGTAAGGCCCATAAATTTGGAAATCGTAAGCCTTAAATCCCGTTCCCATTTAGGACAAAAGTAAAGGGAATGTTGGTTTGCTGCAGTCCAACACAGCAGAGCTGATCACAATCCAGCCTGGTAGTGTAGTGCCCAGGCAGTCCTTTTTGTAAATTCTGCAGTGGGCTAGGGTTATCCCCATATAGACTCACCATATGTGGCCTGTGGGGTTAATTTGACATAGTGGGGACAAAAAGAGCTGTGGGTCCCGGCTGTGGCGCAAAACCATAGTTGAAACTTGAGGTTCAAAAGTGCGGCTTCAGAAACGCAAAGCCCTGAACCTTAAGCTTCAAGCCTACGATTAGGGTTTCTGGTTTATCGTACTTTGCAAATCAGGCTATCATGGTGCAATGTTCTTCATGCTGCCAGCGTTGTATTTGGCGGGCGCAGGATGTAAGAAGCATGAGGGGTTTGAGCGGCTAAGTCTATGGGGGGTGTCGCCAATCATGCAAAATCAGTATTGCAACTGCATTTCGGCACCCTTTCCTGCCTGGGCACTTGTTACTAGATTCATGGAGTGCATAAGTAGAGTCATTTTTTTCTTGGATTATCGAATGCTAAGCCATCAGCGGCTCAAGCTTCTCAACTCTTCAGACATTCAAGTCTCAAAACATCCCGTCTGAACATCCCACATGTAGGTGTCTTCTTTATTGATCGATGAAGCACAGGTCTTGTGGATGCGCTTTGCAGTCAAGATTTTTGGTTTTGACTGAAGCCTTTGCGACAGGTCAGACGCAGGCCAATTGCAACACGATGTGGGCAGCAACTTTGTACCGGTTTCATGCCAACCACTGCGCGAAATAAAGTTTCTTTGGGATCCATCAACATACTGCTGACCCTCCTCAACTTAGCACTGGTGCTTGTAGCCCGTGTGAGTGAGTAGACAAGTTTGCGAGCTTGCTTTGCGTATGTAGCCCCTATAGAGACCCAGTTTCCATTTCATATCCTCCATTACCCATAGTTCCCATATGCCCCTAAACTTTACATGCAGCGGGTAATGCAGGCTTGAAGTGAGAAGTCCCGCCTCCTTCCTGCAGTGTCAAGCAGCACAACACAAGCTTCATAACTTAGCTTCGCTACCTGCAGCTATGGAGTTGCCCGGCATGGTTGACTTGCCTGGCTCTCGCTAAATATAGGGTTCGAAGACCAATCACCAATCAGGGGTCCGGCCGTTCCCCTGCTGCCTAACACGAAGTCACTCCAATCTGCAAGCTTCTACGTGCAAAGCCGTAAACCTTAAGCAAGGGCGTCAGTCAGAAAACACAAGTCGAGAATTTCCACGTCCACAGCAGGGTATGTAAAATGTACGGGTAGCACTCTGGAGACGGTTGATGCGACCCGAAATTTTAAGAAATGAATCCCACCCTTAGACAGTCAATTTTACACGCCCAGGCAAAAACTAGGTAACTAGCCTCAATCTGTGGAGTGCCAATTCCCATTTTGCTCTAAGGCCCAATGGGCCATTGTCGCATGGCCAGATTCAAGCTCTTGCTGAGGCGCCTTCCCCGAGTGCCAGCTACCTCTTCTTAAGAGACCCCGACAGAAGACTCTGCGCGTGATACGCCCGCCACGCTATCTCCAGTTCTCTATATGCCCTGTTTGGGCTGGAGGTTTATGGTTTAATACAGGGCCCAAGCTCGAAGCCTTAAACTTCATTGTTTCAAATGGTACATGACCACATAACAAACCAACAGCCTTAAACCCTGAGGCCCTAAACCCTTAAACCCGTAATCATAACCCGTTTACAGGGTCCGTAGAAGTACTCCTGACTGAGATGCCCCCTTAGGCCTCAGAGACTCCAAAATCCCTGGCCCGTTTCGTTTGTTTTTCCCCACATCTTTAGAGTGATCCGCGCCCATTGTATACATGTAAGGTGGTGCGTGACATATTGCAGGGATGATGGGGAGGGGCAGATGTTATGATTTGGGAAACCATCGCAAAAGGAAGGGGTGCTGTTTTTTCCGTGTCGTGCTTTCTGGTGTCCTCGGCTCAGGGTTGAGGGTTTGGGGTTCAGGGGCTCCTTGTTTAGGGTTAATGTTTCAGGGTTAGGGAGGTTTAGTTTAGGATGTGTAAGCTTGCCGCATGTTAGGTTCACGTTCAAGTGCTTTTTGATTTCGTGTATGATGCTCGCTACAGCGACCACGACACGCCATTGAGAACTACTTTAGTGGCTTGGTGGGAGACCAATTGAGCCCCTCGTCAGCCAAGAAAAAAAATTGAGTCGCGACAGGGGGTTCGGGGGCCACCCAGACTCCCATCTCCGAGCACCTCTTTCGAGCCGAGAAAGAAGGTTTGGGGAGACAGTCTTCTTGGACTGTTATGGGTGAATGGGTGAAGCTATTGATGCAACGAATGCGCTGCCGCTGCAACAGCAACAACAACAATTACGACGGCGACGACGATTGCTATTACCGCTACTCCTGCTACCACTACTGCCACTATTACGAGTATGAACAATACTAATAGTAATAACTAATACCTAATAATGATTAAGAATTCTAACCTTACTAATAATGCTAATCATGAATACAACTAGTAATAATATCATTGACTATACTAGTCATGCTAATAATTCTGATAATACTAACATGCGTGTTCTAATGCTAACGCCGATGCTATTCCTCCTACATCTTCATAGCGAACATGATGTGGGCGATTCACATGTTATTCCTGTTCTCCGATGCCACGCATACATGCGCAGCTCTCGCCAACTGCACCCGTACCACAAAACACACGCACGTAAGCATATCAAAGAAGCATGAATATGTGGGGTTTTCCAGGGCTTACGGACTGCAGTGGGAATCCTCACCCCCATATGTGGTGTCGTGTCCCGTGTC